GAGTCACCCGATCGTGCTGTTGGCACCGCTCCTCGTCGGTAGGCTGTTGTTGCGGTGAGTGGGTGACTACTGCTGTGTTCTCGCGGATTGCTGCTGTGGGTGGACTGATGTTGGGCACCATGGCACAGAGGCTGGATGGGCTACTGTGCCTTCTGGAGGGTTGCGGAGCGATGGTTGTGCGGACTACTAACTGATACCCTCTCACTGCACAGTCGGTGTATTTCGGATCRTAGATTGTGGACTATTGGTGAGTTCTGTGGCCAAGAGACTGTGGTAGCAGGCCACTGAGTTACCTTGAAAGGCTGCTGGATCATCTGCTGGTGCGGTGGCCGCCGTGCGTCTAAGATGCTGATTGCTGATGATTGCCCAAGGTTGTTGCGGATTACTGCGAACTGCAACATACTACACGTGCCACAGTGGCATTGCCATCTAGGCACAGGCAAGAGCTACGATTATTGACGGTGGGAACCTGCTGCGGTATACCAGGCTCGAGCTGCAGGTCCCTGGATGTGGATTGCTTAAACCTTTGCTACAAGCTAGGGGACACTGCCGCTACTGCCGCTACTGCGGACTGAGCACGAGTTACCGTTGCCTGTTGCACATGGACGTGGACTACCACTGCAGGCAGTCGACTGCTGATTGACCGTTGCTGGCTGCGGCGGCACGCTGCGGCGTACTGTTGCAAACTAGGACCGCTGCTGCTGACAACTGTTGCGGTTACTGGTAATCGCCATCTGAGGCTGCGCATATGGACTGTTGCAGGCTAGTGTGCGGCCGTGGTCAGGTTAGGGAAGGGTGCTGGGACTCAAACGAGGGATTGAGCTTAGGAAGGGGGAGTGGTGTTGCGGTCGACGGAGGGCAGTCAGGGGGCTGTTGAGACTACATCCGACCAAGGGTTGACTGTTTGCTGCTGCGATTTTCTTGGGCACCATTGCGGGGCCCTCAGGAGATTCCAGACTTCAAGGCCCTCTCATTGTGAGTGGAGTGCACCGACCTTGGATCTCGAGAGTCTAGCCTTTCTACTTCTACCCTTCTTAATCTCAGTCTAGTCTATGTTACGAGAGGAAGGCGGCAGGTGGGATTGCAACCCGTAGGTCCGCGCCAAGGCCTCTGTGGGAGGTTTCCATACCAATTGCGGGAGCTCTGCCGGAACCTAGGCGGGGTTCTGGAGGCAGGGAACTTCAGGTATATCCTCGTCTGACGCGTGTGATCCCTGCCCCTATTTCTTATCCTTGGGTATCTGAGTATGTACATGTAAGGATACTACTTTTGTTTTGTTATGTATGCCAAAATATGTTTTGCAGGAGGCTAAATGAACAAGTACGTATGAGGGGTCAGATAATTCTTGAGTGAAGTCGAGCAGAATGAACTGGGGGAAGGTGGGATGAAGTTGTATTGCTTGGTTTGACCGGGTCAACCCAAGGCTGAGCTCCCCTAAGTTGGTGTGGGCTCAGTGCTATGTTTTATTCATGTTTGTTGTTCTGCTTGTATGGGTTTGAGGGTTGGGCCTATCCTAAGTTGGACGGACCAGTCGCTGTTTTTTTATGGGGTTTCTGAACAGGAGGATGAGCACCCTAAGTTGGGAGGTCTCAGAATCCTGGTGTTTCTTTTGTGGGTGGCTGAAAACAGAGTTGGGAACACTCTAGGTTGTGTGGACTTAGTTTTGTGTGTGTTTTTTTCGGAGGGGAACACAGGCATGAGGCTGAGCGTACCCTTAAGTTAGGGCGGCTCAATCATAAGCCATGAACATTAAGGTTAATCAAAGTATAGAATTTGGATATATACTATATGAACTTATACTCTGGCAGACCGGGCACCCTAAGTTGGGAAAGCCAGTCAGTAAGTCAGGTAGAACAAGACGAGGAGAAAAGTGATGAAAAATATAACGAAGGTAACCTGGGCAGGCTGAGCGTACCCTTAAGTTAGGGTGGCTCGGTCCTATGCTCGTAATAAGACAAAGGATCAGCAAGTTAGTATAAATTTGTTTTATTTTCCCTTCTAAACACAAAGCAGGGTTGGATGTCTCCCTAAGTTGGGTAGGTCTGATCCTCTGCCTAATAAGAGAGAAACACGTATAGTCTGTGCATGTATCAATGGTTGTTTTTATATGATTATCGTTACAGAGGCTAAGCGTACCCTTAAGTTAGGGCGGCTTAGTCACACGTCGTTGTACTTKTTCAGAYAGTTTCTGTCTTATGTAACTATAATTGTCTAGGCCAGCTAGGCATACCCGTAAGTTATGGCGGTCTGGTGATAGGCTCTTGTCGTTGATGTGATGTAGGTTGGACGTACCCTTAAGTTAGGGTGGTCTGACCATTCGTCGTTCGTACTTGTCTGTAGGTTAGACGTACCCTTAAGTTAGGGCRGTCTGACCATTCGTCGTTCGTGCTTGTTCTAGGCAGGTTAGGCACACCCCTAAGTTGGGGCAGCCTAATCCTGTGCCCTATGTGACTTTGTGTAAAGCTGGCTAGACATACCCTTAAGTTAGGGCAGTCTAGTCTTATGCCTCATGTCGTCAGTTCAAACAGAAGCCAGGCGTACCCTTAAGTTAGGGTTGTCTGGTCATATGTTTTATGACTAGAGTCTATGTGGAGTTGGGCACACCCTTAAGTTAGGGCAGTCCAGTTGTGCGTACTCCTACTGTTTACTTAGGCAGGTTGGACATACCCTTAAGTTAGGGCCTTGTCTGATCCTATGCCATAAGTGAGGGGGCCTACAAAGGGAAGAACCGAAAGACCTAATGAACTACTTGGACGAATTGATGTGCGACTGTGAGAGATGCATATGTATGTATGCTCGTGGGCTCTCACTTGGGGTGTCTTTTCGATAGGTTAGTTGCTTTAGATGCTCGCCAAGTGTTGGAGTCATAGGTAGGTCAGATGGATGTTGGGAGGGAAAACTTGGGATGAGGATAGGACTGACCTTGCTAGGAGTTAGGCCCAATGCTAGCCCACGGTCTCATCTAGAGATCGTATTGGCTGTCATTTGAGTATGAATCGCCAGGTAGATGTTAGACGTTAGTCCCAAGTATAGTTGCATTGTCTTTCTGCTTTTTCTGCTTCGTATAAATCTTGGCAGGCTCCTGTTCCTACGGGAAGCGCTGCCGAAATTTTTACAAATCTGAAAAAGTTAGTAATTTTTTGGGCTCTTAGAAATTCTGAAAAGGCACTTTTCCTACGGGAAGCGCTGCCGAAATTTCGTGAAATTTGGGGAGTTAGAATATTTTTCAGTTAGGAGTTACTTAGCAGATCCCAACTGATTAGAGGAGGTGTTCAACTAATTTGTACTAGTAGAGGAGCTAGAGTACGACTAAGGGGAATGATCTCCCCTTGGCACAGACGTAAGTAGTACTCTTCGTTGGCCTGTACTGTGATGCAGGTTGTTATGCTATCACTTGAGAGCCTGATCTGATCAGGCTATTCCTTCAGAGAGATTATTCCTCTGTTATCACTGATAACAGGTCGGTTGCCGATTTGTCGGTCTTCGACTCAACCCCAATTCACCCTCAATACTCAGCCTAAAGAGGTTTTAGCCCTGGTGATGTTATTTGTTTTGTTAAGGTTTCACCCAGACTTTTATTGAATGGTCATTTAACAGAAGTACTGAGTACTTAATTATGGTTGGTTGGCTGGAGGTTGGGGCTTGCATGGCTAAAGCACAGGGTATGAGTGGGGAGGTTGGTTGGAGTTGACCCCGTGTAGTGCGTGGATCTTTGTTTGATAATGTGATGTGATTGCAGGTATGTATGGAAGAGTCTCGATTGATCCATGCTGAGTGGTATTGCGTGGATTTAGATGGGCAAACCACACAACTGTCGTGAGAGTGAACTACCCCACAACCTTTGTGTTTGAGTAAGAGTGTTTTATCCTTGTTCTGCTGAGGTGATGAGCTAGGTAGGCGTGCGTTCAGGTAACCCCTACAGGGATAATCTCGACGACGTCCTCTCTGATAATATTGAGAGTATTTGTATCCTTTCCTTGTTAGGGTTTATTTCGGTGGAACGATAAAGTTCCGGGCGGAAGGGTTAGCATGTCGCTGGTGATGCGCCAGACAACTCACCACCACTCTAAATTCCTTCCTGACCTAGGGGCCGTCTTACCCTGCACCCTTTAGGGCAACCCTCGAAGTTATCAAGGGCCGCGAGGCTACGGGTACACCAGATTACCCCATCAGCGCGAATAATTGCGAATGCCCGCATGGCTGGTTGTCATGAGGAGGCCATGCGTTCGCTCGACTCTTATACGGAAACCCAGCGCGCGACGCCTATCTGGTCCTGTTGCGTAAAAGTATGGGTCGAATATTGAAGTTACCAGGAGTTGTGGTGTTGTGGCGTTGTTTGTGGCGGTCGTTCTGTGTGTGTTTCTGTATATTATGAGTGGGTAAGTATGAGTATCGTGGTGTAGCGCGTGGTGAGAGTAGTGCGTCCTAGTCGACCGACGCCGAGTCGAGTTTGGGATTTCAGCCCCCTAGTACGGCGATACGCGTACGGGTTCGATCTTTGGGCATTCGACCGCGCGTAACCCTCTATGCTACAGCGAACGAGAAACGCCCTCGGCTGGGCCACCTCTGCAATTGCATACGAAAAGCTTTCGCATGTGGTTCAGTAGCTCGGCAGGGATACACCCACCTAAGGGATGGTGTCAGATCCCGCAGGTGGAGGTAGCGGTGCCTCGCGTGACTCTGTCCTGTCATAGGGACTTGTGAGAGGTACGACTGACGCACTCGGCCGGAGCGGCAATCGCTCTCCGCGACAAGTCCTGCATAATCCTGCGTGACGCGGCCGGGAGGGTCCCCGTGTGGGACCAATGCGCTCGACCGATGGCGCCACCGGTCGAGTACAACCCAGGTTAAGTGCAGGCTAATGATCTAAGCAAAACGACAAAAAGTTATAGGAGGGTTGTATATAACGTCATAATAAGACTGAGTCATATGGTATAAGATTAAAGGTTGTATAAAGGACGCGAATGATTAATGGTGGAGCGGGTAGCGAAACTTAAAGGTGGAATGGTCAAGAAGGACGTAGGGCAGATCCTCTAAATTTGACGAACTGCTTACCGATCTATCCCTTGTTACTCCTGTCAGGTTGGTTAGCAAAAAGAGGTGAAGATGCCGAACGCTGATGAAATCGAGCGTGGCCCGGCCGCTACGCTAGAGGATTTCGTCAAGGCACTCGAGAAAAGGGAGTTGGCACGACTTCAAGTGTCGAAAGTTAACATCTTCCATTTTAATGGGGACAGAGTATCCGAGTGGCTGGAACTGCTGGAGCAGGTTACGGCCGAGGTGCCTGAGGCAGATAAATTCAAGTTCCTACCCAGGTACGTCTCGTGGGAAACTCGGCCCGAGGTAATGAAGGTGGCTGCTGGAGCAGGAGGAGACTGGGCTAAGTTCAAGGCAGAAATGCAGAGGCGGTTCAAGTTAGGGGATGGCTTGTTAACGAAGACAGATTTGGAGATGTTACAACGGGACGAGTTCTCCACGGTGGGAGCTTTCGCAACGACATTTGAGAAGATGGCCAAGAAAGTCCCCGGATTGGCGAAAGAAGAACAATGTGCCACTTTCCAGGGGCACTTCAAGAATTGGGAGGCCTCGTCGCTAACCAAGAAGGCTGCGCCAGGAAAGAAGCTCACTTGGGCCGCTATAAACGAGGACGTAATGGAAGGAGAGCTGGACCAAGTAGACATCTTCCAAATGCGACAGGCTAGGAAGAAAAGAAAGGCCTTGGACGCCACGACAAGCAGCGGGCGAGAGTTTAAGAAACTAATAGAAGATGCAGTGGCCTAGCTCGGTGCAGAGGAGGCAAAAAGAAAAACTATGGCGGCACCACAGACCCAAGGTAAAGCAAAAAAAGGGGTGGTGCAGGAGGAAGAAGAAGAGGACGAGGAAGAGGAGCCGGAGCCACAAAAGTTGACAAAGGCTCAAAGGAGAGCAAGGAATCTGGCTCAAGGGGGGCAAGGCTCAGGGAAGGGCCAGGTCCCACAAGCGGTAGCCATGCCGCCCCCTTAGTCACCTAGTCAAGCTGCACGAGCACACTGTGGGCCATGGCCAGGTTGCAGACCCTCAAGTCATTGGCATGGGCACTGTTCACACGCCCCATGGCCAATGAGTGGGCCTCATGGGTCATGTGTCGACCCGCAGATAAGCACAGCTTCTTGCGGCTGCCCGAGACCCCAAGCTCAGCAGGTGAGCCACCCAAACCCTCCGCCTAACCAACCTCAGCAGTCAGCCCCACAAGGATCGCAAGGCAACCGAGGTGGTGGACGTGGTCAGAATCAAGGATGGGGACGAGGGCGAGGGAATGGTGGCCGAGGAGGAAATGTCAGGGGTAATGGTGGTGGTAACGCTGCAGGCCGGGGAAACGAGGGTTGGACGACATCCAGGAGTCAAGGCGGTCAAGAGGGTGGAGGAGGTGCTGGCAGGGGGAGAGTAGACTGGAGAAATGCCATTTGTTGGCATTGTGGGCAAAAAGGCCACACTATTAAGTTCTGCCACGTCAGGAGGAACGACGAGGACAAAGGTTTAATTAGCACCAACTATGATGGAGACATGTACGACAAGTGGGGTTACCACCTTGACCCGAAGATTCTAGGCGGTACGAGAAAGGAAGCCATGCGGAAGGCTGAGGCCGGTGAGCCACCCGCACCACCAGCCATGTTTCGGATATGGCAGGAGAAAGAGGTTTGTAGTGACGTCAGGGTGGAGGAGGTAGGAGAGAACGCAGAGGTGGAGCAAGAAAGGAAGGCCGACACTACTAAGGCAGAACCGATCATAGTAGAGTCCGACGATGAGATTGAGGAATATTGCTGGAACAGGCCGCTGCGTGCTGAGACAGGGGAAGATTGTTGGAGGACGGCCCGACAAATGATGGAAAGAATGGAAGACTTAATAGCTAAAGTCGGGAGGTACCAACAGAAGTTGGCCGATATATGTGATGAGGTCAGGGAATGGAAAGGTAAGGAGTCATTGGTATATCTCTACGATCTTGGTCCAGGGTCGCAGGGAGGATCTGGCAACATACCAAATGTCACGACTTCGGGCCCGACGCCAAGGTCCGGGATGACTTATAGGCCACCCTCCAGGACGGGGAGGGCGCCACATGCGGTCAGGACGAGGGCTAAAGGGCCGGTGAGTCCCGGAGAACCGGCCAAGGATGTTCCTGAACCAAGTGGAGAGAAAGAGGTAGTGGACGTTCCAGAAGGGGAGGATAACAAAGATGATAGGTTAAGGAAGGAAGAGGATGAGAAGGCTGAACAGCGAGCCAAAAAGAGAGGTGCCAAGTCGGACATAGACAAGGCACAGGAAGTAAAGAAGAAAAGGTATGCGGTCCGCGTAGAGGAAGGGTTCGACGTAGAAGAGATAATGGACAGGATTCTCGAAGGTCATAACCATCTTATGAACCTGAGGGATGTCCTGGCCTCAGCGCCCAGGCTCAGGAATGAGCTAAGGGCGCGACTATCCAGGAAGATGGTGGCCAGCGTGCGGTTAGGGACTATAATCCCTAAGGAGGCTGAGTGGGCCGAGACAGGCACGAAAATGGACTGGAAGTCAGTAGCCTGTGGGTGCCTCTATGTGGTGGTAAAAGGGAAGACGTGCACAGCAATGGTGGATAGCGGCTCAAAAATGAACCTCATAAAGGAGGTAGATGCAGTGCGTCTAGGGATGGAGGTAGATCGCTCCGACAACGGGGTTCTGATGGGAGCAAACAGTCGGTCGATCTTCATAGGGACCGCATCGTGTGTGATTCTAGAGATTGGGAAGGTAAAAGTAAGAAGTTGTTTCTTCGTGATGCCTGATTTGGACCACCCTATCCTACTGGGTACGTCGTTCCTAAGTCGGACAAAGACGGTCATTCTCAACAAACATGACGGGACTATGTTCCTCGCCCTGTGTGACCCCGTGTGTGGGAATTACGAGGTCATCACTTGCAAGAACACAGGACCCAAGAGCGTAAGGAACCGGCCCAACCCCGGTTCATTCACAATTGAAGAGTCAGAAGAAGGAAGGCTAGGGATTGAAGCCAGCAAGTATGAGGAGGTAAGAGAGTCAGAGGCGCTGACCCTAAGTTTGGCAAACATAGGCGATGCTATGGATATAGTATCGACCTATGGGATGACGGACCCTGAGGCTGTGGAGGCCTTGAGAGAGAAGATAGTGGAGCAAATGGGTGCAGGAGAGATGGAATTGGTATATCAAACATCTGGTCAGACAGGTGGAGAGAGTGGAGCACAACCCCAAAGCGCAACTCGACCTTTTTTAGGGGTGGGCTCAAGCAGGGCGCCCATGCCCCGTTCCCGTACTCGTTACTGAAGAACAGGAAGTATACTACGAGCGGGAGCAAGAGTCGATACGGCAGATGCGAGAAAGGGCAGAAAGTGGACCATGCCGTATCAATGTCAAGACAGGGAAGGCGCTGATCATAGGGGAGCCTGGCTTTCTTACGGTGCAGGCGGAGAAACTTGTCATGGACACCATAAGAGGAAGGCATGCTGCATATGCCTTCAGTGATGATGAGAGAGGCTGACTGGACGTGGATATTATCCCAATGATTAGGATACATACCGTACCCCATGAACCATGGAACTTGCGAGGTGCGCGGCATCCTAACCCCGCTGACGAAGAGAAGGTGGTCAACTACCTTGATGGGAAGATCCGCACTCATGTGGCAGATTACTCGAGCGGACCGTATGCGTCCCCATGGTTTTGTTTTGTCAAACCCAATGGGACACTGAGGTGGGTACAGGATTTACAGCGCCTGAATGCTGTGACGGTGAGGGACACAGGTGGTCTCCCCAACGCTGATGCGCTTTCGGAGGCATGCGCTGGGAGGGCCATCATATCCCTCATTGACTTGTATTCAGGCTACGATCAGTTCCCTGTATACCCGTCGGACCGGCCTATGACAGCCATGCATACCCCTCGAGGGCTGATCCACATGAACGTCGCACCGCAGGGGTGGACGAATGCGGTCGCTATGGTCCAGCGGCACATGGTGAGGGCGATGCAGCCCATACGTCCTCACATCACGCAGCCTTACATTGATGATCTGGCTGTGAAAGGGCCCAAAGAGAAGGATGAGCAGGAGGTGATGCCAGGAATCAAGCGCTTTGTGTGGGATCATGTGCAAGACTTGTGCAAGGTCCTGGATCTCTTGGAGGAGCATAACCTCACTGCCAGTGGGCCAAAATCGAGGAACTGCATGAGTGGTGCCACTATCTTAGGATTTGTGTGCGACGAGAGGGGTCGTCGACCAGATACTTAGAAGAGTAACAAGATTCTCGAATGGCCAACACCGTTCCAGATTATCACGGAGGTGAGAAATTTTCTGGGCACGTGTGGGTTTTGGAGGATCTTTATTAAGGGGTTTGCGACAAAGACGGAGCAATTACGAAAGTTCGTGCGTCAAGGACAAGACTGGGAATGGGGAGACAGACAAGAGTCGGTGAGAAAAGACCTGAAGAAGGAGTTTGAGGAAGGAGGTCTAGTACTGGGGGTACCGGAACATGAGGCGGTGATGACCAGGCCGTTCATCGTAGAGACAGACGCAAGGCCAACTGCACTGGGAGGTGTGTTAATCTAGCGAGATCCCAATGGGGAGGAACGACCACTAAGGTTTGAAAGTCGGACGCTCAATACGTCTGAAAGGAACTACTCTCAGTTCAAGCGCGAAACCTTGGCGGTTCTTCACTATTTTAGGATCTTCAGAAACTACCTCTTTGGCAATAGGTTCGTATTGAGGGTGGACGCTACGGCTCTGGCTGGTTCTCTCAAGAACTTCGCTCCGTCAAATCCAACTATCGCCAGATGGCTGACGTACATCTGGATGTTTGACTTCGAGTTGGAGCGAATTCCTGGGACTAAGAATAGGGCAGACGGGCTGAGCCGAGTCGACTGGGACAAGAACCATCAAGGAGTGATCGACGATACTCCACCGGTTGACGGGTTCCTGGACAGTGAGGAGGATGTAAGACTTCACATCAACTCCTGGGCACTGGCCGTGGGTAAGTATGTTGCTCCTGGGCGGCCCCTATGGCTTGCGCCTCCAGGACATGTGCGATGACCAGACTTGGTCCTCAAACGTTATATTGAAGAGGATTTTTGGGGAATGTCGGGCGTAGGTTGGATGATGGAGCTGGCCTTAGCTGGCAAGTACGAGCTGCAGGAACACCCGCTTACAATTGAAAATGGGGCGCTACAGGTGGGTGAGCACAAGAAGATGATAGGTGGGGTGTACCTGCTGGCAAATGCACTGCTTCAAGAAGAGACGGTCAGAAATACGGTACTAGACCAGGAAGAGGAGGTAGAGCCGGGAGAAGGTGATAATGTGATCCACGAAAGGGAGGACGACGACTTTGAGGAACGTGAGATTAAAGAAGCCTTTCGAGCAGAAAAATATGAGGGGGTATACCTTGAACTCGGCATGCTTCTTTCGTGCGAGATGAGGGAAACGGATGCCTGCGCGTGAGTTCAGAAGATGAGGCCTAGTTTCCTGGTGAGGGATGGCCATCTGTTCATGAGGAGAAAAGAAAGGGATCCCAGGAGAGTAGTCTGTGGCGTCGCTCGCCAGATCGACATTATGGCGGCACTGCACGACGGTATGGCAGGTGGCCACAGAGGTGCGGATACGACATACCTGAAGATCCACGAGTTGTACTATTGGGATGGCATGGGGCAGATGATTGATGACTATTATAAGTCTTGTGTACCATGTCAGGAGCGATCCTCTCTTAGACCTAGAGAGCCGCTTCACCCAAGGTATCTTCGTGAAGTTGGAGCGGTCGTGCATTTGGACCTGTTGGCAATGCCATTGGGAATAGGGAGCTATAACTTCATCTTTGACGCACGGGACAACCTCTCTGGGTTTGTGGACGGCAGGGTCATTCGCACGAAGACTGGCGAGATGCTAGCCCGATGCATTGAGGAGTATTATCTTCGCTACCCCTTTGTTTCCAGGTTTGTGATGGATAGGGGGTCCGAATTCACCTGTGGAGAAGTGAAGGCTCTTTTGAAGAAGTATGGGGTAATCGCTGAGTACACTACTGCAGCGCACCCTCAGGCCAACGCACCTGTGGAGAGGGGACATAGCACCATCACAAATCTTCTTGCCAAGTGGACCGATGGCAGGCCCAACCAATGGCCAAACTTTCTAAGGGTCGTGTTTTTCGTGGATAACATCACTATCAAGAGGAACACTGGCTATGCACCGGTTACGCTATGGTACGGCAGGCATGCGACGTTTCCTATCGAAAGCTTCCTGAAAACCTAGAGGCGGCAGGACCTCGAGACTGATCTGACCTTTGAGGAACTGCTGTATTTGAGGGCACGACAGATCGGCGCTATTGAGGACAGGATTGAGGAGGCAGCAAGTAGGATCGCGGACAGCCGTACCAAGGACAAGTTCAGGTGGGATAAGATGGCAAGAGTGAGAAAGGAGCCTCTCAAGGTGGGAGATGTTGTACTATTGTATGACTCGTCCCTATAGAAGCAGTGGTCTCGGAAATTGGACAAGAGGTGGCTGGGACCGTATAAAGTCACCAGGTGCGGAGAGCACGGGGCGTATCAAATTGAAGAGTTAAATGAGACAGCATGGAAGGATTGGGTGTCAGGCTCGAGGCTGAAGAAGTTTGTGGCTCGAGACGAGGTGAGCAGGGATCTCACCACTTAGAGTTATCTCGTGATTACTTCGGATACTGCTCTCAGTAGGATAGTATGATAGGTTATGACTAGACTTGTGGGTGTGTGTAGGGATATGTATGCATATGTGTGGGTAGGTAGGGAGTTGAGATAGTTGT